TTCTCTCCTCCAATAAGATCACAAATAGCTACTAAATTAAATTGGCATCTTTGTTTCTTTTTTAAGGAGAAATGTGTTTACTCCTCCCGAGTCCATCTGTAACCTTCCATATTTGTGTCTTCTGGGCACAGAAACCATTTAAAAATACAAGCTTGCTCTAAGCAGGTTCAAGTTTTTACCAATAGAGTTGATGAAGGCTTCCTTGTTTGGTACATGCACTTTGCAGAGGTTACATAGCTCCTTCTCATAGCCCCTTTYCCCTAATTTTTTAAAGAAGTGGCTAACAAAGCACATTTCATCCTCAGCTTTACCATCCTAGATCACTGTTTTGACCAGCCTGGTTTCCCTCATTTAATCCAAACTAATCCCTGAGAACAAATACCACATTCACTCAATGTGGGGAGAGAAGAAGGAAGAGAAAGAGGAAAATTTCACCCGAAGCAGAGGAGCAGTCTCTGCATCTCGCTTCAGCAAGCTGCATGTTTCTGTTTTCTAGCAGTGGCAGCAGCGCATAACAGCAGGGACGAGGAAGAGGAGGAGGGAGGCCACGCTGCCCTTCGCTGCCATACCCTTCCCTCTGGTCAAAACTGTTCCACTGTATCCAGGAACCGAAAATGCTGCGTCAGCATCAACCATTTGGAAGCGTTCAATCCTGCTAAAGGCTGAGAGAAGGAAAAGAAAGCTGAACGCAAACAATCATACGGACAGAACCTGAGGTGAGAGTCTGGTGCATGCTCGGAGTAGGAAGAAAACTCRACTTTACTAAACAGAATAGTCAGATAAACCAAACCCTACCGAAAAATCCTTTTAACAAAGAGGGAAGCTGGTTTGTGTATCGTGGAAAAGTGTGAAATATAAAAACAACMAAAAGCAATTAAAGTTGATGCAAGGCCTCTGCTTACAACACTGTTTGAACAATTTTATTCTTCAGGGCAGCCCTTAAGTATCCCTGAACTGTGCTGCCAACTACTGCGGACAGGAACTTACTGAGTCCTGCAGAAGATAACGTTCAGCGGTGTCTGGACCATGGGGCAGGAACAAGAAGAGATGGGCTGGTGCTCTCTGTGCTTCTCCTCTCCCCTTTTTAGAGCCAACAGCTCTGCTGCTGRCTCCTTTCTCCTCTTTTAATTTGAATAYGCAAGATATTCACAAGCATTAGTGCTTTTTTCACACCAAGGCAGCAATGGTTATCTGGGTAGCACAGTATGAACAGCACACTTCAAACTGCAGGAGGAACAGGGAAAAGAAATGCAAGTCACCTTGGCTAGTGGAGTCTCTGATAATTTTTCTTTTCTCCCCACTCCTGCCATGCCGGTATCAGCACATTTTAGGTGTGAATACTCATCTGTTATCCAAAAGGCTTAACCTAAACCAGCTGCTTGAGAGAGCTAGCCTTTTGGGGAACACAACATCGGAATTCCTAATACAGGCCGACACACTGACGTTAACTACTCTCCACACCAATAAATACAGAAGTGAAAGGGGAAAGGACTAAAAAAGTATCATGACAAGTATTCAAATTGAGAAACAACTCAATCAAAACTCCACTGCCCTGAGCACAGGCAGGCTTTTGTAACAGGACAGACTACCTGATTTCTTTCAGRTCACTTCGAGAACGTCTGTCCCCAGGTTTTTGTGAATCAACCACCAATCCATGAATAGAAGGACGATCGTAAGAGTTGCAGCCCTGTATGACAGCCAGGGAACACAGATGGAAACAGTAACCTTTCTTCTCTCCAGGGAAGGCTGGGCAAGCAGCATATAGTCCGATAAACCTTAGAAGACACCCGCTTGTACATCCTGAATGGCAAAATCACACATGGGTACAGGATGAAATAGGAAAATCCAACGTACAGCCAGGGTTACAATATCAGAGAAGCAGCTCCTACCATATAGCGCCCACAAAAGACGAGGCCAGGCGCTTTTCCTCCTCACTCAGCTGTTTTACAATTGCAAGTCAAAGGTCAACTGTCTTCACTCACTTTTGGAGGCCGGCCACAAGATTACTAATAACCAGCTTAATGGCTAGAGTTCAAGCGCTATTCAATCAAGTCCAGAATCCGTGGGTATGGAGCAGTAATGGCACCATGACATCATAGGCAAGTTATCTGCTGAAATCAGATGGAGTCAGACAGTATTGCATCTTTGCCTTCCCTCCCCGCAAGGAAACATGAACTTTTAAGGACTGGGAATTCAAGTGTTATAGATTTTGTCCTTTCCCTACTGCGGCTAAGTGCTTTTTGCTATGAAACAATCCTTTACCATTATTACATATGCCTCAAACTAGCCACACTTTCCAGAGGCGAGGCAAGCTGAGCGTCTAATGCTGGGTTTGGAAAGCTGGTCCCAATGTGTATGAAGCTACATGTGTCCCTGTGCAAGAGGCACGTGCAGGGTGTGCAGGTGCATTCAGCTTGTGGCAAGGACGTTTCCCTTCCCAGCTCATTCACTTGAAGGATTAACCTGATTTATAGGAGAGATCACGTGAGGCACAGAAACGAGCTACCCTGAGATTCCTCGGTTGTGAACAAAGTACTAACAAAACAGATCTGGCACATTTGACAGAAATTAATTTCTACAACCTGAAATACATTTCAAGTGAGACAGACTTTCAAAATGACAGTGTGCCACAAAAGCCTGTCGGTCTAAGTAAAGTGAACTGTAACAGCTCTGCTGCTGGCTCCTTTTTTTTCTTAAGTTTGTCTGTTTTAGACAGTTCTCTGTRGCATGGTAAGGTTCACTATGTGCTGAAGGCAAGATTTCTGACCCTCTAATTACCCTCTAATTTCTGAATTTGCTTGGAATTTGCACCAACTTTAGTGATGTTGTTCAGTAAATCATCATCTCTACCTCTCAGCTTACTCATGCACAAAGTTAATATGTAAAACTTGTAAACATTCTCAGAAATGAGCTGTAAGCAAATACAGTTTGGAGAACTTCACCAGAGTTTTAAGGAAGTGCACAGGTTTTGTCAAGAACAGAAAATCCCTTTTCATATTCTAGGAAAAAATACTGTGGTGAATGTGGTAGCAACAGCATAGATGTCACCACCATGATGCTGCTGCTGTGACAAGATTGGTATCTGTGAAATGACATCAAGCAGGCAAGGCTTAAGAGAAGCTTACTAGCAATTGTCGCCCCACTGTCTGCAGCTGTAATATTTTTCCTGAAATAGGTTAAAAAAAAGGAAAACAAAGAAAAAAGTTGCTCTTATTCCTACACATTTTATAGAATTTTTTTTCCCCCCACAATAAATACAAACTTTACCCTAGCCTTTTTTCATGCCCTTCAGCAAGCATCTACATTAAATCAGAAGAAAATACAGAGGAAGATACTTTGAACAATATTTAACCATACTTCAGTAGTCTTCCTACTTCAGCATTTTCTGCAAGCTTCAAATATACTATTTTGTATATTATATGCAGGGACAGCAGTGCTGATAGCAATCCAAAACAGAAGAATACAGTGCAGGTCAGGAACCAGAATGTAAGGTACCACACGTGACATTTAACGAATTCCGTCAGTCTTGAAAATAAGGAAATATTCGAGTAACTCATGTAAACATTGGAACTGAGGTGAGCAGGTCTGACAGACACTTTTAGGCTATGGCATTTTTTGCACATTTTTAATTATGGGTTAGGGGTATATAGAATATATGTGGAGGCAGATGTACTTATTTTAGAAATTAAATCTATTATGGTCTATTAGCAAGAACCTCAAAGCAGGATATGTTTTTATAACCATTATCTTATTAAAATAACTTCTAACTTGAAATATGCCTTTACGAAACTAATATCTTATTTAAGCTAAAACTCAACCTATAGCACTAAAAAACAACAACAAAAAACGATATCTTACAAAATGAAGACTGTTACACAGTGTTAGTAACATTTCTAACAAATGCCTCAATTATCTTGTTGAGATATCAGTTATGGAAGCCTTGCGTTACATCTACATATAGAGGATACTTTTTCAACAAATCTTAAAATAGCTAAATCAGGCCTTTCCCTGGCAAAAACTGTGAGCAGATGAGTAATCCCACTGAGGTCTGCAGGACTTGATTTGTCAGCACGCACAAAGTTATAGGTTTGCATCAGCAGGACAGGCACCTCTCTGAATAGCTTTTGCAGAAGATCATTTCAGTATAAAATATCTTAAGCTTCTGCTTTTTGACTAGGGAGGGGAAGACCATGTTACAAGTTCATTAAGAAATACGGACTCTGAAAGAAACWTAATTAAAACAGCTAAAAATATGGGTCTTTTATTACTTGGAAGCTCAGATCTATGCTTCAGAGAGCAAATAACAACGAATTTTCATGTTTTACCTTCTCTCTGCTGTCAAATTTTGCCCTTGCATGCTAAACTTTTTTTAAATGAAATTTAAATTTGCCAGTATTTCAGGAATTYGAATAATACTCAAAATCTGAAAGTCTCAAAAGTCCTTGATATCCTGATAGGCCGAAATTTCCTCTAAAGCACTCCAAACATCCTCTCAACATCTGCTCAGATCCATTAGACATTCAGCCACACGCTGCTCACTCGAGCTCATCAGCGCTGATGAGAAAATTCAGCACCAATGCTCGGCTGCCTGATGCTAAGAGATCATCAGCTGGGGAAGAACCTAATCCCTATTCTTYGATTCTGGCATTTCTGGCAGGAGGCAGAGGGAAGGAATCCCGAAGGGAGTGYGAGGGCTTGGAAGGGTTTCCCCTCCCGGGAGGGCGCTGGGTTCGGCGCACGCTGCCCTGCACTTCTGCTTATTCGCTACCATTTTTGAGGCTCCTCTTTGGAGCCTGTCGAGAGGTGCATGATGCTCTGGGGTGGCCATGGAGGAACAGTGGAGCCTCTCGCTCTCGAGGAGCACTGGGGAAGCCTCGGAGCACCCAAGGGATGGGGGGATGGCCCCGGGGGCTGGCTCCGTGGCACGGGAAGCGATTCCGGGGGTGGCTGAGAAGCAGCGCGGGGACAGGGAGCCCCCCCGCCGCTCGGGCCCCTCTTACCTTGAGGATGTCGCCCCGCTTGAAGCTCAGCTCGTCGTCCGCGGTGGCTTTGAAGTCGTACTTGGCGATGGCCTCCATGGTGGCGCTGCGGCCGCCGCCGGCTCGGCCCTCCCGCCGCGGCTCCGTGCGAGGCGCCCGCCCCGGCTCTCACATGCAGGGGCGCCCGGGGCACGATCCGCCCTAGGGGGGAAGGAGGAGGAGGAGGGTGGGGGGGAGGAAGAGACGGGCCATTAGGGGAAGTGGCCGGGATCGATGGCCGGGGCCGCGCCCAGCGCCGCTCCCTCCCTCCGCTCCCGCCGCTTCCTCCCGCCGCCAGGCCCGGC